TCGGGGGATTTACTATCCTCTCTCCGGTCTTTACGATAGGCGCCATTCCTTCCTGCTGACTGCAAGCGGGGTCAAGGGGCTCCCTGGGCTGGATAATGTTCGAGTCGCCCGTTGAGTGGTACCCAAACAAATCTAACCATAGCACCATCTTGCGTTGTTCGTTGTGCATGATAAAATTATGCAAGAACTGCAAGCAGGTGATGAGGAGACGCTTGTAAAGGTTGACAACCTTTTGCCAGCGCTCTTCGTTCCTTGCATTCGTCTCCCCGTCAAACCCTCGCGCGGTTACTCTAACGCAAGTATCTACCAGGGCTAAGATTCTCTGATCGAAACCTTTCTCCGCCGCCATGTTCTGCGCCTTCTTCGTGGTGGCGAGGAGGTTACGGGCAATCGTACAGAGATCATTTAGGCGCTCAATGTCCTTGACTAGCGAAAAGTAATTGTAGGCTATTAGGTTGGAAGAGGAATGATCGTAATTTGCCGTCGGGGGGCTCTTCCATGCAAACGATTGGGATTCGAGGACCGGGATCGCCTTCGTCAGTACATCTGTGAAGCCTTGCCAGATATCCGGTGATAGGCCAAGGTTATGTCTGTTACACGAGAAAATGGTCAGTATGCAGAAGTGGAAGTAGGTGGCGGAGAGACAGTGGGCCACTGGACAGTGACTCCGATCCAAGACAAGAGAAAAACATCGTCGTACCTGACATCGCTCTCCTGGTGTGTCTTGTATAGAATCTGCTTCCCGGCAGAGAGCATGTGTTCTAAGCGTTTGTCGTCAATCATCCCGCGAGTTTCGTAGTGGCTCAAGGTCCCCGTCAAAATGACCTTCAACATGAGCTCCGCGGGGGTGCATTTCGGCTTGATCTCCGCTGCCGCGCGGTCGGCCATTTTTGACGATGCTTGTGAAGATTCGTAACACAAGCAGCTATCCAGCGTTGCCCGCGCAATTTATAGTCGGGAGGGGTGTGGGAATAACGACAATGAGGGACGCTCGGTGGAGAAAGAATCATTGAACCGTCGAGGGGAATTTTTCCGGCTCCGTCCCGGCAACTGCCTTTTCGGGTAATCTTACAAGGTACATGCACGAGGGCCAGTGAATGTGAAGCTTTCTTATTGAGCGAGTCATAATTTATATACATTCAGTTAAGTTAGCAAACTATCTACTTAGACCACCTTCGGTCGGACGGCTAAACCCAAGACATGACGCAGATTGTTCCAAAATCCCAGATCATAGATGTTGTCAATCTCCTTCATACTTTGCACCTGAACCCACCTCCGGTCTATTGGTGCATCCCTGTTACTCGGCTGCTTGATCTCATTGGAATCCCGCGATAGCAAGCACCCTTCCTTAGGCGGCTCACCATCGGTCAGTATGAGTACCTGATCACTACTCACTGGCCAGAAGGACTGAGCACTCTGGTACTCGGCCAACAAGGGTGAGCTGCCATATATTTCGGCCTTGCTAGATTTGTAAGCCATGCCATCCGCAACCTCTTCTTTCCAGTCTGACCACTTTGAGCTTTCATTGGTTGTCATACCAGCCCAGATCAAGTAGGTGTGGTACACGAGAAAGGCTGCCGCCAATGGGGCCGTCATGGTCATCAGCAAGGTAATAGCACCGATGCGAATATCAGCAGCAATAACTACAGCCCATATATTGCAAAATGCAGTCCAGGTTTGCCGAGTCGTCCGCAAAGGTGAGCCCGGTGGTATCAGTCTGTCGTATGTTTGATATAGGAGAGTGTATCCCAGACATGAGCCGTAGATGAGCATGAGACATAGTGACAATATCATGGAGAGAAAATAGTGGTAGTTGTGAAGTCCGACACAGTTCATGAGCCAAACACAGTGATGGTCATGCCGTGCAACGCATGCTTTGCAGATGCTGCAGTGTTTACTTCGTGCCGGCTTGACAATATGACATGTGCGACAACGCTGTCCTGGGTGAAATATGACCTTATCATATGGATAGCGTTCCATTTCAACTGTGTAATTCTTTGGGGTGATGAATGACTTGGTGGTAACGCTGGCATACAGCAAAACGTAGGGCATGGTGGCAAGGATCGGGATCCATATATGGTGGACTGTGGAAATCCTAGGCCAAGCAGTTGGTATAAACATACATTGCCCTGCAATCATAAGGGAAGAGAAGAATATCTAATGTACAGAGTTAGAGGAGGCCGTTGGATATCAGACACATGGACTAACAAGGATCAACGGGTGATTTTCGTGCAGAATGTAACTACCAGAACAAGTCCAGCAGTGAGACAGCCAGCCGTTCAGTAGCCAACTGTCAAGGTAAAGAAGCCCATTAGGGATGTGTATCCAAAGAGCTCTATACAGCCAACCAATGGGAGTTTTGCTACAGGAAGCATCTATCAGTCACGGCCCTTACAACGAAATGCTGCAGCCTACCGAAACGCAGGGAGTCTCCCGAATAGCGCCACGAAAACAAACCCAGAGATCCCAAGGATCACAAGTGCAATAGTTCTTATGGCTCCCATCGTTAATAGGTTCTTGATCGTATCTTTCGGGAATTTCTTTCGGATCAGTCTGTTGTCTCCCTCGCCTTGTTAGTATGGGGCAAAATCGTAGTGGGAACAGTAATGCAAGTCAGAGCTATGAAAAAAGGATAATGCCACCCTGTCGCTTAGACCAGAGCTGGCATTATCAGTTGACAGGCTTTGACGTGCCTGCTTGCAACCACTATCGCCATGTTGCTAAAGCTGCCGCCCAAGTGTCCACCGGGTATCTATTTTCGAGTAACAAACACGTGACGTAATTGCCTAAAGGGGAAGAAATGAGCGTTAGTACTGGACATCATGGTTTGGATCCATTCAAATTAACCTTACCTGTGGTCTCGTCCTCCATATTGATTGTGACCTGACCTTTTGCATAAGTTTCATTTATATCGATGACGCTAGTCCTCTTTCTGAATAATCGATACCTTCACATGCACACTTTATCTGTGGTTTAACTTTCTTGACGCGCGGACACGTGAACACGTGATAACGTGTTTCTGTATACCTGCGGGTCTACAACTAAAACCGTTCGCGCTTTTGAACTGACGATTATAATGACTGAAACGAGCACTACAGGAGATAGTGGTGTATCAAGAGAGGCAGAAACGCCTCTTTTTCAAGGGAAGCAGTTTTGGTTGTCTCACAACATCCCTCAAAGGAGATGGTTTAAGGAGTTGATTGAGGTACTACAACGATGCATCGCTAGTATGAACGCGTGACTGATTTATCTATGGAAAAACGGCGGTACTATACGGTTGCTAGAGAAGGATGCAGAAATCAGATTGGTTGATCATAAGAGAAAGAACTTACCCGCTGACACGTGAGGTTTCCTCCCATTTCTATCCTTGACTCACTTGCGTAATCGCATCACTGGAAATTAGCGCATACTATTTCAGGCTTCTATCATCCAGTGGACACTTACGAGTTATAGGTACTCTTTCAAATATGTCGAAGACTCACACCGCCGGGGAAAGCTACAGAATCTAGAGAATTATAGAGCTGGGCCTTCTGAAGCACGCCCTGTAGGGGCTACCAACATACCCACCAGAGGCCATAAGATCCCCTATACTCTTGAAGATGACCAGTTGCTCTGGGATTGGATGCAACCCCACGAGAGAGACCCTCACGCTAGGATTAGAGGCAATAAGATCTATCAAGAGCTAGCCGAGAAGGTATCAAGAACCACCTCTAAGCTGTGAAGATACAAGCGTACTAAGTGTCATTTACTAGCATCCAAGGCACACGTATCAATCATATCGGGATCGGTACCTCAAAAGGCTCAAGGGGCATCCACGCCCTGGTGGCATGCCAGATTCAACAGATCAACCTGCACCTGACGAGCCCTCCAACTCAGCCACTCGCGCGGTCCAGTCTGAGCCTCGAGGAGGGTCTGCACAAGGGGCTGAGACTACTGCCATCCAAACAAATGACAAGAAAAGGAAACGGGCTTCTGAGGATAAATCTGATGAAGACAATGTAGACAACCCTAACAAGCCCAATCTGAAGAAACGAGCTACCGAAATCATTATCAACCTTCCAGACCCTTTCATCTCCGCACCTCAGACAAAAGTGGCTGCAGTATCACATTCAGCGACAGCATCCAACGGCCAGAGACCAACTCCTGGGGCAACGGAGGCGAGAGAACGTGGGGCCACTCAGGAATCAAAGGCCCCAGCTAAGGAGCCACACCAGCCTTCACAGCCAGACCCTTTGTTTCTAGAGCTCCCAATGTTGCCTTCGGATGATGATCCTGAAGACGAAGATATGGAGCAGGATATCGATGCATGGATCGATGAACGACTTCATACTGGAAAGGCTCAACATGAGGAACAAATACACCAAGCACTGCGGTGCACCAGCATGGATCCAGAATTAGCTGACAGGGTCCTGGCTATCCTAGTAGAAGGGAAACCTATACCGGATGATATGCCCGGTGTTTGGACACCTGAAGATGACAAATGCATAGAAGGAAATGAGACTCGAGGCATCCAACGAGTCATGGAGAAGCATGGGACGGAGGCCTTCAACAATCGCTGGGAGTACCTCAGCATGGTCAGAGAGGCCGGTCTTCTGGATACCCTATGATTAGGACTGCCGCAATTTCAATATTCCGGGACTGCGAACTAATAAATAATAATGTACATGGATCCTGAAACGCTCAAAAGAGACACAAAGACAAAAATTCGGAAATCACCTGATACCCAAAGAGCAATAGTGCAAATGAGTTCGCGAAGACCTGGTGCAGCTGGCCCAGTTCTGTTGTATGCCGGTGTTGGTTCTCTTCAAGCTGGAGAACTCTTGTGGGGTCCATGTCGAGACTAGCCCAGGCCATTGTCTTACACTTAGGTTATCTTGAACCAGTAGTTGAAACTTCAAAAACACCCTATATGCTTGCTCCTTTAGGACTACTTTGCAATTGCGCCTGTCGTAAATTGGACGATGATAGATAAAGAACCCGAACCTTAATGAATGGATTATTCAGCCCTCCTTAAAGACCCTGATGAGAGTGATTAGCATATGCTCATATTACGAGGCAATGAATGCGGATGACTTACAGATGTGATTCATAGAATTGAAGCATCTTGCTGCAAGTTAGCGCCGACAAAGAACCGCAGATCCCAGATAACTCACCTTCTTCGGGCACTTGTCGTAGCACATCTCTATGTTGACCTTTGATTTTCTACCATTCTTCCAGCTAATAAACGCAAGCAAATTTGACGTTCCCGGTTGCCGTATAATTGTTTCCACTGTGTCGACCTCTTTCTCCCAATTGCGCGACGAAGGAACCCACGTGGATGTGTCGTCGCTTTCACCTTCATCGGCCTGCTCTTTTTCTGGTGACTCTGTTGTTGTTTCAGCCCGTGACTTGCGGCGTCTCTTGGGCTCGGGGGTTTTCTCAGGGGCGGACTTCGGAGGTCTTCCCATCGACTTGCGCTTCTTTGTCTGCGGTTGTGGCTTTTCAGGACGGCCCCCCAGGACTCGAAAGTACTCCTCGACTATATCCTTCGCGCCTTCTCTGTAAACGATCCATCAGTATCGCTGAAGCTGTAGTGAGCGACGTCCAGTAGCATACAATAGATTTTCTTCTGGCTCCCATGTCATGTCAGCGGGGTCATCGTAGCCCTGCCACTTGACTTGTAGAAGGAGGTCACCCTACCAATTCATTAGCCAAAGCATGTCCTCTCGGTGTCAATTGAACAGGTGTATATGGAGAAAGTCGCGCACCTTCTTGGCCCATTCATGATCCATAATCTTTTCAACAGCGTATCTGTTCATGTCAATCCCTGCTTGCGACAAGGTCGCACGCGCGCAAGCTTACACATCCTCTTCTTCCTCATCCTCGTCCTCGTCCTCATCGTCATCCTTAGAAGCATTCTTTGTAGACCGAGCATCGTTATAGGGAATCGACTCGCCACTCGACGACTCGTCATCGGAAATGTCAGGCACCGGCGCTGTAGTATGGTTAGTTTGACGGTCGATCTCGAAAACAGACTAGATGCATCAGTTTGCGGCTACTTACGGGGCATTGTCCTGAAGGAAGCAAAGTTAAAAAGTCGGGAAAACAACTTGGCGGATTTTCGTGAGAAGTAGGCCCACGGATTAATAAGATCACAGAGTGAATGACAAAGAAATAGACATTAGCGACGATGCGACAATAGTGTACCTGAGGGATCAAGATGCTTTGGGCGCAGATGAAATGCCGAGTCGCGCGGGCGCGCGGTGGGCAAACCACGCTATACCTGATATAGAAAGCAGCTCACTAGCCCGCTTTGGACATCTCCAGAATTTCGAATTGCAAGTGTGCCTCCAAGTCCCTCCGCCGTCCGGTCCTCTGCCTTCCCCCCATCGCTCCGCTCAACTGTCCTGGGAGTCTACTCGATCCGTTGACTCCTATCTTTGACCCCCTTGCTGGATTTTATTTTCCGACTCTCTGAAGTGGGTTTTCTGCCAAGTGGCAGACCGTCAAAATGGCGATGCGTATGTTGCAAATACCCCTCATTCGGCATCAACTATACTAACATTCTTTGGCCTCTCTTGCAGAGCTTGATCTTTCTCAAGGTGGGACCTTCCGCTGCTCCGGACTTGCTTCGGTTTTGATATCTGTTGCTGACCATTACATCAGCTTCTGTAATGAAGGATGAACAGGGTCGGCCATTCATCGTCGTTAGGGAGTACGTTCCGATCTTCGACTCATATCAACACCAAATGGGCGGTTTCTTTCAGGGCAGGTGGCTAATCCGGTTCTACAACACAGTCAAGGAAAGAAGAAGAGACAGCATGGCACGGATGCGGTGAAGTCACACATTGTTGCCGCTAAGACGGTCGCCAGCATTGTCAAGACCTCCCTGGTACGGACCGTCACCGGACTGGCAGAATAAGCAGTATTTAATGGATTTATAGGGTCCCCGTGGTCTCGACAAGATTCTGATCTCCCCTGATGGAGATATTACCGTTACGAACGATGGTGCCACTATTCTCGGCCAGGTTTGTCCTTTATCACCAGCCGCTACACGCGAGGATATATCTGACCTGTTGATGCTGGAAAGATGGAAATCACGAACAACGTTGCCAAGCTTCTTGTTGAGCTGTCGAAGTCTCAAGATGAGGAAATCGGTGATGGAACGACAGGTGTCGTTGTGTTGGCTGCGGCTATGCTAGAACAGGCGGCCGAGCTCATCGACAAGGGCATTCACCCTATTCGGATCGCAGACGGTTACGACCAGGCTTGCGAAATCGCCATTGCGGAACTCGACAAGATCAGTGATGTGATTCCCTTCACCAAGGAGGACACTTCGAACCTGCTCAAGGTTGCCAAGACCAGTCTGGGTAGCAAGATGTACGAGGCTTTCTCCGTTTGCCCCTTGGGCCCTGCATGCTGACACTGGTACAGTGTTTCCAAGTCTCACGACCAGTTTGCGAATATCGCTATCGATGCAGTTCTCTCCGTGGCCGACCTCGAGCGCAAGGATGTCGATTTCGAACTGATCAAGGTTGACGGCAAGGTCGGAGGTGCCCTCGAGGACTCCCTACTCGTGAAGGGTGTCATTGTCGACAAAGATTTCTCCCACCCCCAGATGCCCGACGAGGTTCGGGATGCCAAATTGGCTATCCTGACCTGCCCGTTTGAACCCCCGAAGCCCAAGACCAAGCACAAGCTCGACATCACGTCAGTTGAGGAGTTCAAGAAGTTGCAAGAGTATGAGCGGGAGAAGTTCACAGAGATGATCCAGAAGCTGAAGGACTCTGGCGCCAACCTGGTCATCTGCCAGTGGGGTTTCGACGATGAGGCCAACCACCTTCTGCTCCAGAACAAGCTCCCCGCCGTTCGCTGGGTCGGCGGCCCTGAGATCGAACTGATTGCCATCGCGACCAACGGTCGTATCGTTCCTCGTTTCGAGGATCTGAGCTCGGAGAAACTCGGAACCGCAGGCCGTGTTCGTGAGATGACCTTCGGTACCACTCGGGAGAAGATGCTCGTCATTGAGGATTGCGCCAACAGCCGTGCTGTGACGGTGTTCGTTCGTGGAAGCAACAAGATGGTAAGCTCGAAGAGATCGAGGAGGTATCAGGGGACATGTGCAGGATGCTGACCCTCTCTTAGATTATTGATGAGGCCAAGCGTTCGCTCCACGATGCTCTCTGCGTCGTGCGTAACCTGGTCCGTGACAACCGTGTTGTTTACGGTGGTGGTGCTGCTGAGATTGCTTGCTCCATCGCTGTTGAGGATGCCGCTGTCAAGGTATGTCGATGTCCTTAGAATATGCGTCTAATCACATGCTAATGTCATGTCAACAGAGCCCCGGAATTGAACAATACGCCATGCGCGCCTTCGCTGACGCCTTGGACGCCATCCCGATGGCACTTGCTGAGAACTCTGGTCTCAGCCCTATTGAGACCCTGGCTTCGATCAAGTCTCGCCAGGTCAAGGAGAACAACACCCGCCTTGGTGTGGACTGCATGATGACCGGCAACAACGGTTCGTATAAGACATTCCTCGAAACCCCTGGCATTTTTGCTAATTAGCCTCTATAGACATGAGAGAGCACTTCGCCATCGATCCCCTGATCGGGAAGAAACAGCAGCTGTTGCTTGCTACTCAGCTCTGCCGTATGGTCCTTAAGGTGAGTTGTCCAACCAGTTTTCTCCGTTTGTCTTGGAACGCAGCTAACTCGGGCTGATACAGATCAACAATGTCATCATTGCGGGCGACGAGGACCAGGAATTCTAGATCTCTTCTGTATACAGGTTTTTTTGTTTCGATGGCTAAAAGTGACACAAACACTGGCGTTGCAGTCATGCGGAATCGATGATACTACATATAGTTCTTGCAGGTAATCAATCAGTCTCGGTGGTGCTATGGACGATAAACATAGCAATTACATAGAATCAGTGAAATGACAGAAATGACATTCAACCACTTCCGGAGTAGATGTAGGAGAAGGAGATAGCAAAGCCCTAAGAAACAGAACAAAGGACCAAAGAATGGTGGGTTAGCTACTAAACGAGGCTGAAATAGAAGTAAGTGGACGAAAGTAGTAGTTGTGATTTAGTGACGTTTATAATAGAATAAAAGTATTCTGAACATCTCAACTCTACTTTGAAAATACTATCTTCTAGTAGTCCAATACTAATAAGTAGTTTCACTAACTAGGCTTTATATACTATAGTAACTCATTATGGAGTTAGCATTGTAGTTGGAATTACCGACAGACACATATCACGCGCTCAGCTTCTATACTATATGGAACTATGAAGGCACCGTATTTCAAACCCACTCCCTCCATACTCGTGAATCATACATAAACTATCATAATTGTTGAATCTCAGTATCAAACCTCCCTATGCTCACCTCCCCCGCTTCCCGAGGACGGAAGATACCGCAACTTCGTATACGATAATCAGATCCTTATCAAACCTCACACATACTGAACACACGGGATCAGATAGGTTTTCCCCAATTAATCTAATCCACTTAATCAACGGTAGTTATCTGGCCAAGAGAGACACCCGGAGCGGAAGGGGGAAAGGAAGGGACCATATCCGCCCGAGGCGGATAATGCACCTGCATCATAGTGAAAGTGCGCGGCCCGCCACTCCAACCAGCCAGCCCGCCCGCCTGTGCCAACCGATGGAAGCCTTCAATCAAGATAAGGAAAGAATGGTAACTTTGAGAGTCAAAGTGTATTGCAATATATTGGTTGTTAGATCACGAGAGTTTAAATAGCTGCGTTCGTCCACCGTCACATCGTGTTGGATTGTTCACTTTTCGACTTCATCTTTTTTGTTATCAATATACCCTTGATCGTATATATATTTATTGGTTGCCACTACTTACTTCAAACTTCCCATCTTTCTATATATAACTTCGGTCTACTAAGTAGTACTATCAATATGGGATCACACGACGAATCATCGTGGCGCCGCCTGAGCGTCGGTATTGTTGGTGGTGGTATTGGTGGTATGGCTGCGGCCATCTCGCTCCGTCGAGCAGGTCACGATGTGACTATCTATGAGCGTCATGATTTCGCGGGTGAGGTTGGAGCGTCGATTTCGTGCGCGGCGAATGGAACTCGCTGGTTACACGAATGGGGAGTCGATGTTGCTAAGGGCGATCCGGTCATTCTGCGCAAGTTGATCAACCGGGACTGGAAGACTGGAGAGCCTGTTAGTGTGTATGATCTGGGGGACTATGAGAAGCGTTGGGGATATGTTTATAACATGTTCCATCGGCAGTATATGCATGCGATGTTGAAGGATTGTGCTATGCAGGAGGAGGGCCAGGGAACACCTGCGAAGCTGAAGGTCAATTTTCAGGTTCGTCGCGACATACGCTATTTTTGCTCTCCGGAGTAAGGTCCGATTATATAGCTGGCATGCTAATGTTGAGAACTATACAGTGCAAAGATATTGATCTGAACTCCGGAGTGATCACCTTTGCCAACGGGGAGACTGCCCAGCATGACTTGATAGTTGGTGCTGATGGGATCGGCTCGATTGTCCGTGGTGTTATTGGTATTCATCCTGAAAGAAAGCCTGCAGCCTCCAGCTGTCTGCATACTAATGTAACGACGGAGGAGGCTGTTCGGCTGGGTCTGGTCGATTACTCGAAGAACAGTGCGCTTGAGTACTGGGGTGGCCAGGAAGGCAAATGGGATAAGATCGTGCTCTCGCCTTGTAACGGTGGTCGCTTGCTGTCGTACTATTGTTTCTTCCCTCGCGAGATGGGAGACTATGCAAGCCAGACCTGGGGTGGTGAAGACCGTCCCGTCGAGGAACTTCTCGCGCCTTATCCTCATCTCGATCGCCAGGTCTTCTCGCACCTTGCAATTGGCAAGGAAATCAGACCATGGCGTCTCTGGGTGCAGTGAGTACCCAACTAATACACTCTCACGGTCGCTTGGAAGTTGTTTGCGCTAACGGTGGGCAGCCAACCATACCCATATATCTCCCGCAACATGGTTTGCCTTCTCGGTGATGCAGGGCACCCGGTATGTTTTGACCTACGGATTTGAACAATAGACAGTATCGACTAACGCATCCCACTGCAGATGATGCCCCATCAGAGCCAGGGTGCCTGCATGGCAATCGAAGACGCTGCGGCCTTGGGAATTATCTTCAGCAGGGCGCACTTCAAGGGCGATGTCGCCGATGCGCTGTCGATCTATCAGGAAATCCGATTGCCCCGGGCCACCAAGGTTCAGTCAGCTTCGGCGAAGGCAGCATATAATATCAACGAGCGCATTGGTAAGCGAGATTCATGATGCTAAAGTAGCGAAGATACTGGTCCTAAGTATTCTATCCAGGTTTCTCTAGCAATACCGACACCGCCACCTATAAGGTTGAGGATGAGAAGAAGAAACTGACCATTGAGGAGATGAATGCGTAAGTTTTTTAGCCCATTCGATTTTATTCCGGTACCATTTTCTACGTCCAGACTCTGACGATCAAACCAGATATGACATGTACAGAGACATCGAGGAAGTTGTCGCCATGCGAAGGGGGCTGCCGCACACAGACAAATTCATCAGAGGGCTACCAGTCGGCTTGAAGCTAGGTAACGGGGTAGTTGTCGGGGAGCAAGAGACTAGCTCATTCCAGCCTCGGATTTGAGTACAGCATGCGGCATGCTAGTGTTTTGGGGGCGCAGCATTAGTTTCGCGCCGGTGGAGGAGTTCTTTCTTTTGGCGTTGTATTGTACTTAGCGTGATCATGATCTGAGGTTGTACTTGAGCAGCTGATAGCATTTATCTACTATGGGTTAGTGTGGCACACGTACGGGGCAACCTTTTGGGCCTTCTCGAAGGTGACTTTCACATCACTGCATTGACAGACCATGTTCCCGACCCTGGAAGTATTGAAGTTCTGTTTTTGTTCTGTTATGAAAGATTCCACGCATAGTATACCATCCTACTGGCTGAAACCATCACAAATGTGCAGAGTTCCGATTCGGCGAAGACTGTGATGGCGCTCCATAGTTGCTATCCAAATGACCTGTGAAGTTGATAGGATCGATTTCGGGCGAAGAGGGCCATGTGCGCTGTGTGTGCTCGGACACGAAGAAATGGATCAGCGGGATGTGGAGACGGAAAAAGGAGAGGAACAATGGGCTGACAGCTCAGCATGGGGTTAGTCGGTGATTGAGTGATAAAAGTACGATCGGCAAAAGGCCAGAAGATGACAAAAATATTGGTCGAATGAGCCTTATCATAAACAACATATGAATTGGAGCTATCGATGCGATCTGATAGGGACAATCAGAATGGGTGGAAATGATTTCCACGAAGGAGGGTGAGAGTGATCTGGTGACGGTCGTCTGATCAGCGGGCGATAATGCAATTGTTATTCGGCTGCCTCGTCTAGACTGAGAGGGGAGCGCGACCATCAATTGGCCCGGCGACTACTTTTTGTCATTAGTCGACGACTCAGAAAAGAACAGACGGCATTGCACATCAACATCCACTCACAGCCCGTCGCGGAGGATATGATCGATAGCGCACAGGCGTGGTAAGCCCGATGCAATATGCATTTGTTCAGATGACCAGCAGTGAAACTCTCCCGTAAATAGCAACGTAGCTATGCGTCGCAAGAAGAAGCAAATCCGACTTCTAGACTCGGTCGATCGCGTCTATTCAGCTGTCACGATGCAGCTGATGTTTTACCGGACAAGCCAGCTTCTGCGCTTCATCCCGGGGTCCTTGTTCAGAAGCCGGTCCCTCCAATAATATCGAGCCGCTATGGTGGAAAATCCTCGAGATCCCTGCACAACGGTAGAAAGCTCTGCTCATACGAGCTTAGGAATAGCCGCCCGACAGGGGTCCATCGTCTATCCGCAAGGCTGCTTGAGACGACATCATTGTCAAAGAACGAAGGTTTTTTCTGGTTCTAGTCCACCACATCCGCCCTCACTACTGCTTAAGCCTCTATTCCTATCGCATAACCGCTTGTGTACACCGGGCCTCGTCGATGAGCAACCTCCCTCCGCCATAGTCGATTACTTGGCAGGAGGCATATAGTAATCGCGAAACCTTGGTGGCATTCTTTTCAACATTGGACAACGGAGCAGCCAGCTACATCTCATCCTGCCTAGTTCGACGACGGCATGGAACCAGGAAGGAGTATATTCACCGATCAAGTTGCCGTAGATTTAGGAACTGTCACTGACAATTGGTTGTACATTCTGAACGGTCCTCGTGACAATACTGTCGTTGTTGGAAATGCATATGCTATGTTATCGCTCATATAACCAAGATCAAAACACTTTTTTCTCAAGGTCATGACATAGCATAGTCATGAGGACTTGGCTGGGCAATAAACCGTACGAACCAATGTGCAACCGCGGCTTGCATCTGCAGGTAGCGCATCTCGTATGATCTGGTCGTCCAAGCCTTGGGAGACCGGCATGCTTTGTATGAGAAACGTCGAGCGTATCCGCAATGGATTCTCGAATCCCAATCATCAAAGCCAGTCTGTAGTAACCATCGTCCGATAAAGAGTCCCGATCATTGAATATGGAATTCAGTCAGATGTCCCATGACTTTCAGTCATTAATACTATTCGGTGTGCGGGAACGGAAGCGCCGAAACTTCCAATTGCCTTTTGATAAAAGTATATGGGATATTGATGGGGTTACACTCGTCTGGTGCCTCAAGCCGCCTCATCCGATCATCTTGAAGAGGCTGTATGTTAGAGCAAGGAGCACCCTTGCGCCTATGGCTGGCCAGAGGAAGATGCAGAAGCATTTGATCCTGTCCGGAGCTTATTGTCTCAATGACTTCTAGTCATGATTTCACTGAATCAGCATCAGTATCGTTAGTGTCAGTATAATGTCGCTTCTAGAGGATGATCCATGGCTGCTGTTGACTCACCTTTCCTTCCGAACTATTGCTCAGACATGGGCCGTTTGCAGATTATGAGTTCACTTTGCAGGTACTGCAGGCTTCCATGGACTCGATATGGAAATTCTATTCGATCGCGGCCAGGGTGACATCTTGCATATCGAGAGCTAAGTAGGATGGCTAAGATTCCATTCGAAGGTACTTCAATCTACGATCTGTCACCGCTGTTTATCATGTGATATGGTGCATACAAGAGAGTATTTTGGCGGTACGGCATCTCGAAGGGAAACAAACATATCTGGAATCAGCTGCAATAAGGCTAGCGTAGGACGTCTCTGTGCTATGAACAGAACACTGTCTTAGTAGCTTGTGTATGGTTACAGCCTCGGTGATTACCCAGCAGGTGACCAGAAAACTGCTAAGTACCTAGACAGTACCTCCTTAGAATGATGCTGATCTCGGACAAGGATATGTCCGATGGAAGCGCACAGCCCTGAAGCGAAGTCAAGGATGCACGACTGTGTAGAGGAATGAATAACCGGCCTCGGTTAAAGCGGCGACGTCCCGAAAAAAGAAAGTCCACGCAGCGCCAGGAGACAATGCGCAGCGGTTACCACCCGCCATCACATGGCTGCGAGCATCGACGTGGCCGGCCTCCGTTCGCGCCAAAGTCCACCATGATTCTGTCTCGTGGGTCCTGAGCAGAATCCTTCCCCTTTTCTCATGACAGCAACTGACGATCAGGGCGTCAAACGAGAAGCCGTGGCGTGTTTGCAAGGAGATGCCTTACAACAACACTGTCAAGCAATCACCTGTCGCTGCTTCAATATTAACAGCGATATCTTGGGCGCCCATTATTTCTATACCGCTACTTCGGACTTGGGCGATTTCAGCATCACACGACTGCAGGAGGTGATCCTAGCATCTGATGATGCTCACCTCTGGTATGTGCCTTTCTTTCTTTGGTCTCTCTGTAGCCTTACTGTATGTTGAAACTCGTAACTGGAGTATTTACAGTATTTCACCCAATTTCCGTCGGTCTGTTTTTCTGTCTTTTTCCATGCACTTCTATTCCTTGGTACCTCAGAAAAGTACTACATCAAGTCAGGTACCAGCCATGTGAAGACGTACATCTAAACATTCACGAGGATATCGATTTATACCATCAAACTCTGATCCAGACCATCTGGGGCCTTTTTATTGGCACATCCGCACCGCCAGATATACACCTCTCACCCCTGGCCTTGCGATCCGATTAGCCCGTTCACCCTCGACACCTTATATACCGGACCAATAGAAATAGCCAACCCGGGCTAATTTATCCCGCTCTAACTTGAAAGCACTAAGATCTAAGCCAATGGCCTCTGCAACCCCCTTTGACATGAAACGAAGCCCACAGCAACTGCCGATTAGCTGAGAAACATATCCGAGGTGCAAGTCACATGGATGGGACATGGCGGCTGTCAACCTAACTCTACCTACTCTTTCGGGGATACCTTATATCGCAAGGTCATGCGACAGCCGGAATCGGTGCCTGATCTGCCTAAACTTGAACCAATGTCTTCTTCGTGCTACACTAACTCGAGTTTGTCTTTGTTTCAGCTTATCGCTATGAAAGGTTCCAGCTATTAACCAACACTTACTTGGCCGCCCCATGAACTCTCTGTTATGAGTGTGCTATCCGACCATACCCAATCGGCAGATGATGACGGTTACGAGAGCACGCCTATATAGCAATGTGACAAGTCTACTAGATGTTCCCTATCCGAACTCTCAGCCTATTGCGGGGAAGGAGTGCTAACCCCGGAAACCCCTGATCCAGTTATTGAACCCCATGGGCCCAGCCCGCCAACTGGCCGCATTCATCATCCACGAACAACAGCTATCTATAGCAGAACGACACGGCATATAGACAGTGTCATACTTCCAACAAACAACAGACGAGTCTCACATTCACAGGGCCTAGAATAATAGATCGACCATAGCAATTCAACACACGCCCATGCGTAATGATGACTCCCACCTGTACCCTGCAGCGACCGGACCAGTTACTATGATAGCTATTAACCCACATCAACGGCGGTATCAGCCAACGTGTAACAAAAGCGCCCTAAATCAGGCAAGGAAGAAGTATACAGCCCTGTCATCTGACACGAGGATTTTTTTTCTCTCTCTCTCTCTCACTCATCAACCCCGATTAAAGGAATCACTTACTAATTATAATACCCCCATTTGCTTTTTTTTCTTTTTCCTCCTTTCCCCCTCATTTGTTTTTCCTAGAACCAGGTCTCGGGAATCTGCCAACGTTGCACAACGGAAAAACTAATCTCAACTAGACAACTAGTAGTTAGTCACTTACTGCACATGCAACTGATGATTTACTCAACGGACTCCGTACTTACAGTTCTGCATGATAGTACTCTAGACCCTACACCTGTTCATGTATATTATGTACATATGTACCTAGATGGGTACTTACATGAGTGGTGGGGGGTGTGTGGGTGTCTGGTGGTGCAACACACTTCCACTTACCGTAAGTATTTGATTGTTGTTGTCCAAATCGGCGGTGGGTGGGGGTCGATCCCAACCGGACAAGGTATCTGTGAACATGCCTGTTGACCCAAATACCGGGACATGCAGATGCGATGACGATTGTTCTACTGCTCGGTTTATTGCCTCATCCTGGTTCTACTTCTTCTTCTTCGGAGATAGCATACTATTTTTCCCTAATACAATACTTACTGTTTCTACTTGACGATCTAAAGCCATCCTGTAGTTAGTTATTTGTATAGCGATAGAAAATAAAGAGCGCGGGTATATCTACCTATAGTATAAGTAGTAATATAATATCGAAAAATATGTAAGTCCATACATACATTCATACATACTTACATAGCTAATGATCTACTATTATGTATTGTTTTTCAAAACATACATACTTGAATTACGTCCGTCCCTGAATCAAGGAGTAAACCACTACCACTAAATAACCAACTAATTGACTGTTATTCTTCAGCAAGACAAGGCATACCCAAAGAGGCAACCCGCTGGCTAATTCTACTTTACTTACGGTCAATTAAATAGAAGTTTGCGTGATTTATGTACGGAGTACATAGTAGTAGTAAATATAGATAAGGCGTAGGTACTGTTATCTTGCTATCAATCCAAGGCAAAAATATATATGCATGGATCATGCCTAACTATCGCACACAGTGAGCTAGACTAAATAGTAGTACTCAGGTAATTGAGCTGTATTGTCTGTTGTAGCACACACACACACACACACTGTGTTCCTCGTTTTCGCCTCGGTGGGGGGTTGATCAATCCGGGGTAATTCCGTGAACGTGCCTTTCATTGCTGCAGATTTGAGAGAATGGAAGAGGAGGTGGCAAGTAGGTAGGTAGGTGAATACACAGTTGGTTTCCTTGCAGGATTGGGGAAGAGCTCTCAAGACAGATAGATGAGGGATAGATGGATAGCTTACGTGGCTAGGTAGGAGAGATAGAAGGGAGGAATTTTTCGATGGATGGCTGGTGGATGGAAATAGTAAAGGAAAGGAGGTCCAAGTCAAGGTCCCGGCCCCGTATTCCAGTCCAATAGGACTCTCTTACTGCTGCTCATTCTTCAGTCGGGAGAGTTTAAAGCTATGTTTTATATTGGTTTTATCGCGTGTTGAGGATTTGGAGGGAAAGGGAAGGGCACGGAGTAAGGAAAGAGGAAAAAGGAAAGAAAGAAAGGGCAAAATTCAGATTTACCGCAATAGGCTTCCCGGAGCACTTACTCAGTCAATCAATGATGTGTGTGTGGGTGGGCTCTATTTGTTTTTTCCTATCCTGTTCCTCAGATCCTTGAAATGCGATCCGCGCTATAACCCTTGCATTTACGTGGAGAACCCACCATTCCCCTGGAGGTCAAAGCGAGCGAGAGCTGCGAATTTGCATGATCTGGTAGCCGCTAATCTGGGTTTTCGAACAAAGGTCGGATTCTGAACCGGTCTATTTTGCTAACCAGTTCCTGGTAGATTCGCCCTTTCCTGGGTTACATGACAAGAATCGTTCATGGGTTTTGGCTGGTCCGGGGGATGCGGCCCGGGAATTATGGAATGTGACTTGTTCAGGAGAAACGGCGGTGCTACGTACCACATCGGTTCCCCATCGTATGGCATTTGACGAGAAGGCAGGAAATAGCAGTGAAAGACAGTGAGAAGGAAGGAGAAGTTGAAGAAAAAAGAGACCGTATGTGTGTATTGGACTTTGTGCTCCGTAGCAACCCATACATTAGTGCTGGCCGGCTTAGTGAGTGGTGGTACCCGGCTGCCCTTTGTTTTCGGGTCGTTATCCCTTCCAAATGCATATCCCGGGAGTCGATATCCGTGCGCAATCCAAGCTTTAAGCTATGCATAAAGAATTCAAGGGCCGGAGAAAGTTTTGAGATCGTCTCAAAATAAGGCTAGAGTTCAGGAGGCAATTTCATCCCAATATGAGGCAATATCCGCCCTGGTGAAACGGTTTACAGATGAGTTTGTGACCCCTGGGATTATGAATGGTATCAACAACATTCTCGGATATTTTTTTGGCGATCGTAAGAAGTTCCCAAAGTCGTAAGCTTTATTCATGGGATGGAAGACGTCAATGGCCAATCCACTACTACTCCAGGTGAATGCCTGAGTGTATGGCACCAGCCACAGCAACATACCGTAGATCATGTCGTGCAAGATCCAGACGGTTCTATGATCTACAGTGCCGTACTCAGTAGAGTTGAGGCCACTGTGTTCCTGGCTGACGCCCTACTTCGGCCAGTCCCAAAGGAGGAATGGCAGACTACCTATAGGGGAAATAGGCAACGGGCGTTGTGTTCACACAACAGCATCACCGTCCCTGTTGTTGTTCCCAGCCTGCGCGTCCTGTCGGATATCTCAAGTAGTGACTAAGGTCGGGCGGGAGTACTCCGTAAGACACCGGCGGCACCTGCTGTTTATCATTCTTTGTCTGCAAGCTGCACTTGATGCATGGTGCCTTATCCGGTGCTTCTAAGCCGCTGTTTGACGTGATGCAGCTGCGTCCAGTAGCGTCCTTCCATCCCCGTTGGCTTCTAGTCAGCAATCGATCATTGTGTGTCGGCACTTTCGCAGGTCAGGAGAGCAGTCGACAATGGCGGGGCCGAGTAAAGGCCGTATGGGCGATACTGTTTCTATACGGTTCAATTCTGTGTGTGATTGTAAACGAGTCAACTCGGTGTATCAACCTCGATTGAGCATGGATATGGTAGAGAGAGATAGATAGACATGGAATCCCCTTCAGCCGCGACCAGTGGCGCATTAATGCCGCGGGACGACCCCACATCATGTGACGGAGGAGCTGTCTTGTGACTCGGGGGTGGGCCTTTGCCACTGCGGGTTTGTTTGGTTTTGCCCCCACGTTAAAGGGGGCGGGCGGGAGATGAGGTAACATCAGTCAGTAGTCAGTCCTCTGTCACTAGTAGCTCGCTAGCTAACTAGCTGTATTTTGTACACTGGCACTCTGGCAGGTGGCATCTGCATCGACTCGCTTCTACGCCACAGAGCAATAGTCGCCTCTGCCTGTTCTATCAGCAAGGTAGGCGTCCTGATGTTGTCAATGGTCCTCGGCAAATTTCTGTCGGTATGGACGTCAGCTCCCTCGATCAAGTGTGGATTTGCTTTCTCTTGCCTTCCACTGGTGTACCGCGGGAGTCCCTCGGATGCCCTCATCGGTTGACGGATTCTCCCGAACAATCGAGGTCATCTCGAACAATGACAGCCAATTGTCAATGAACAGTTGGTTGATGCCCCGAGAATTTGTGAAGCCCTTCCTACATGGGGAATCACGAGATAGCGGGTTCCAACCACGGTATAATTTCACCTCTCCTTCAGCATCGTCATCGTCATCCGGAGAGTTTACCTGGGTAGGCTCAACAACACGGAGAGTAAGGAGCATTTCCCATCCCATTGTTAGGGAATGACTGGGACTTCCCATAAGCTTAACCGGTCAATGTACCCAGATAAGAATGTAGCTTCGTAGAATTCTGGAAAATGGGCGTCATCCATGGATTCTCTCTTTTCTTCATGGCACACACCTGCAAGAGGTACGCCTGATGAATCGGAGTGTGGTCGAGTGGGTTAGGGCGCAGCTACGTGGCTCCCTCTAGAAGCATCGCTGTGGAACGATTCCATGCATGAAAGATGGCAGCTGAGCACTTGGATCATTGAAAGCGGAGGTGTCCGCCCCCCAGCTGCAAGCGAAGCGAATAAGCTCACCATGTTGACGGGTTTCCCTGATTTCCACCTGCCAACAGAGCTTTGGTGCCTAGGAGATAATGCTGCTCTTGGTTATTGTCTGCATTGAATATGCAAGAAAGACGGATGTGGGCTCAATTATTAGCTATGGAGCTTTACTTACTACCTACTTACTTACGTTCGCAAATGCCGATCTTGACTTAGTACTTGACTATTACTGTCTAATCAATAGCGCCTGTCTAGTCTTGGTAAAGAGTTTATATCATTGCGGGGTTTACCTGGGCCATCCGTCCCCCGATATTATTTTCTCCTCCCTAACATAGGAGAGTGTGTATGAGGGTGAATAGAGTAGTACCTTCCCCATGCTACGGGGCATTCCGTAGTAAGACGTTTACTATCCGGCAATGCGATCGACTTTAACCAGCAAGTGACCACAATGTGAACCGCCTTGCAGATCGTTCAACGTCGCCGCTACTACTTAGTACTAGCTCGACAGGGCCTTGTGAGGCTTGGAAACTCCCTTTGGGCCCCAATAAGCCGACGAGGTCACGACCCCTCCACATTCAGCCCCTTGAACTTCTTCTTTTGCTTTTTCTATATATTTTTCCCTGATAATTTCTTTTGAACTTCCCGTCTTTCATACATCGGAGAAAATTTGGAGATGGTTTGGATGAAGATGGAAAAACAATCTACACCAACGGGAAGCCCGCCTTAGTAAAGGATCTAACTACTGTACAAGCAGATGACGGCTTTTACTCCGAAGACGAAACAGCAACTTTTTATTATCAGTTTACAACTCATCCATCAGGTGTCCGCGGAGGGAACCTGGACCTTTGACGTGGAACATCACATGATTGTAAAACGTGGGCTGACGGCTTGGGAACTGGCTGGCACTGGCTGTCAGTTTCCAAAAGGGCAGTGGTGATGGTGAATCGGGCGGATCTTCTGAATCCTAGTTCCCCGAACCACTCACCCCGGGATCCGCGATGAAGGATCAAGTGTGGCGCTTTAGTCTATTATTGATATTGTTATTATTCGCAACGGGGCGTTTGGGAAGTTTTTGCAAGGCCCCGTGACAGGAAAAAAAAAGGGGGGGTGGTGGTAGGGTGGGAAGGAAAGGGCTAAACCGAACAGGCGGGTAATCAATCCAGGTATCTATGTACTACTCCTTGTGAACGATTGTATCATACGTGCTGTATGTAGTATTGCCTCCCATTATTTTTTTTTATTTACATTTTGTTGTTTGGGGATATACTACTATCTACCTACCGTTTCCCGCAAAGATAGCATCACAAGTACTTTAGTGACAGCTGGCAGGATTTTCGCCTTGTGACTATGGACGGGGTGAGGAATGAGCGAACACGAATACTCTGTTGTTGGGTCACTCAGATTAGGTATACCAGTCTCCTGAGACCGGTATTCGGAAGGGATACATAGTCATTGGACATGTGTACTTTAGATCTCAAATCAAAAGTGCTTTGGGGTATCGTGGCTTGGAGGGTAAAAGGGCATTGAAGACTTGCAATTCACGGTACATACATACATAACTGCTGCAAACTTCAAAGGGCGCAATGAACTGATAAGAGGAAGGAGAACTATGTAGGTGAGAGATGATCATCCAGATCGGAAACGCTGCGCTCTTTCCCCGGTATGCGACTCCGCCTGGGGCATTTTGCGAAGGTACATACCATCACCGGCTAATAAGAACAAACAGTAAGGAAGATCAGTGCTCAGGCCATTTCAGCCGGGATGATTGAACCATCCACGTCGACATATCATAAGGATGTAGAAAGTCAGAGTTCGATCAGACACGCTTGAGCCTAAAAGGGGATCAGGGTCGATAAGTTGGGGATGAGGTCAAGTGCCGGAATGCCCGGTTTCAGAAATAGGTCGGGTAGTCTGTGTGTAAGATGTTGATGTCCAAGAGACCGGGTAAACAGGAACGTGGCTTGGGGAGGTGCTCAGAATGTAGACGGTAAAACCCATGGTTTCCTTAGTCACATTTGGACATCAAGAATCTGTCCGAAACTAAGCATGTCCGTGACGAAAGCAGTTGAACTGAATCGAGCAATAAGTCACTAGTCAGCAGGACATAACAATAATAGCCCAGCGGTGGGTGGTGGGTGGTGGGTGAATTGTCAAATGCCCCTGACGAGGCGAGGGATTAGGCGCGGTGCCTAGATTGACGGTGATGATGGAAATGGATCTGGATGCTGGGTACAATGATGGAATTGGATCTGGATGCTGGGTACAATGATGGAAATGGATCTGGATGCTGGGTACAATGATGGAAGTGGCTATCATCGTTAGGTCTTCAATAGTAGTGATCATTAACCCGATTCCTACAGTATGCCAGCCCTGGCGAGTTGACAAGTGCGGAGTGATATCAGCAGCACTTCGCCTCGGCCAATCGTTCGGGACCCATTTTTGAGAAGTCAAGTGACCCGATCGATTGACTGGTGAACTGTTAAAGATGCCTTGTCCTTAGTCAGCCGAGGCGATGGTCACAGGACGGGTTGATCTTTGTTTGAATGTTTGTCTAGAACGATCCCCTGTGGCCTTTTTTCTTCCCTCCCCCTGTTGTTGTTATTGCTATCTCTCCAGGGGTTTTGCTTTGTCGGTGATGCATACATAGTGCTGCCGGTCCGAGATGAAGCGAGAACCAGGGTGAATCAAGGCATCAGGTCACAAAAACTTTGAGGCTTTTTTTGAAGGTGATCCATTTGGGGGCTGTCGTCCATACCTGGACGGTATTAGTATGTATCTATCCAGATCCAGGGTCAAGCTTCATCTGGTTGCAAGTATTGGGGGTTGGGTGTAGACGCAATTCACCGATGTATAGCTGGCCCTACTGGGTTTAGTGAAGTACCTGCCTTGACTACTTGACTAGTAGTCTTGTTCTTCAATACCAGTTTCGTACTTTGTTCCAAAGTGGGACTCCGGAAACAGACCGATGGTAATATTACCGGTGTTATAACGATGTATGAAATACCAGTAGACCCACGGGGGTACTCCGGATGTACCATTACGAAAGGGGAAATTTGAATTTCAGAAAAATCAAAAAATCGGAAAATAGAAAAATAAAAAAAAAGAACGCAAATAATCCCAAGATTAATCACACATCCGGGACCACGGATGGGGAGGAGGCGCGGCTAGGAGCCCATCCTTGTACTTACCGCCATCCCCCCCATCGCTGGTCAACCACAGTACCTCTCCCTCGGTACGTACGTCCCATCGGACTTTTCTCTTGTGGCCACCGTCAAATTCCCATTTTCTGCCATTTTCTGCCTCTTTTTCCCTTTTTTTCCCCTTGTACTGAACCCGTTACCAGTTCATACCGGACACTCACTCATCCACCCTCCCTCCCTCTTCCCCCCAATTCTCCACCGACCCGTCCGTTAACTATCTTGCCTTTTCCTCTTTTCTTCGTCCGCTCCACCAGCCAGACTAAGGTTCTCCTCCCCCATATTCCCCTTCGATTTTTTCCCTTCCTTCTTTCCTCCTTCACTCATTCCTCTCGCCCATCACCCTCAATCCTCATCCCCACGTCCACCCCCGACCTCCCTGAACCGGCCATATCTACATACTTCGCGCCAGTGCGCCTGAACCTTCGTTCAATCTTCACCCACCCCGACCGTTTTTCGTTTTCGGTCGTTTCTCTCTTGGATAGGTAGTACTGGAAAGTGTGAAGGATCCGCTTACGGAACCGGCTGCGATCAATCGACCTACCCCGGATCGATCTCTCTTGCGCCATACCACCCTCCATCTCGCACAGCAATTGTTGAACTCGACACCTGCTGCACTTGACAGGCAGCTTGGGCGCCACTTTTAATCTCAATCGACTTTCTGCAGCACGCTGCAGAACCCAAACTTGGAGGCGTTACTCTCAGTAACCTTGGAGGATCGAAGAGGTCTATTTCGCAACTTCTCGCGCCGAACGACCACGCTTGGGGGAGACGGCGACCCCGAAACTACACTCCTAAGGGGAAGAAAAGAATCGTTTGAGGAACTTCAACATATTCGAAATTGTGGCGTTGTTAGAATGGCTTCGCGTTTTTCAACCCCCGTTCTGACGGTGGATACGGCCAAGATCCATAAGGTCGACACAGCCAATGCGCAAAGTCTTCATGGCATGTGGATGGGTAAGTGCATCTTGTACCGTTGCGTGTATCAGTCGCGTCTGGTGGCTGACAATTGAACTCCGAATTTAGTCTTTTCGAAATGTGCCGACTATATGGAGGAAGGCCGACGTCTGGAAAACCTGAGCTGGCGACTCTGGACACGTGAGACCTTCTGTGTGGAGCCGGAGACCTCTAGCACTACCTCAGTTTTGCCACTCCTTCGTTCCGAAGCTGGGGATTTGCCAGAACTTTCCGCGAGTGTCGAATCGGCGGCGTCGGAGCAAGCTGAGCGGATAGAGCATCACATTAAACGCCCGAAGTGCTTGGACTATAAGCCGGCGGTGGTGCGTGAGGATTCTATGGCCAGCCTCGCTCGCGGAAAGGAAAAGCATATTACATCTTTAGGTTTGGAACGGATGGTGCTGAACATTAAGGAGAAGAAACACCTTGAACCCATTTCCACCGTCATGTCGACAGTCGAGCCCCCTGTTGTCGATATCACACCACGTCCTTCGACCCCTACTCCCGCCACCCCTCCTTCTGTCTCTACTGCGAGGCGGACGCCAACCCCGCCCCCATACCCTCTCAGCCAACAACCGAACCAGTCCACTGAGTCTTGCTCGACTACTGCGCCCGAATGCAATGATAGCGATAACAATGGCAATACCGCCGGGTCTGATACTAGCGTTTCTTCGTCCGGCATTCTTACCCGATCCGAATTGATCAAGTCGCCAAGCATCGTCCGCGGATTCTCTCCCTCTGTCATCTCTTCGTCATACCGGTCGCAACCTAGATTGGCTGCCGAACCTGGCCCGGCCAAACCTCCAGCACAGCTCAAGCCCACTCCCTTCAAGAAGAAGGGCGGCATGTTCACTCTCGGAGGCTCGTCGGGTGACGACGATGAAAGCTCTTTCGAGGATCGCATGGCAATGCAAGGGCCCCATCGCAGTTCTCTTTCTGATGAATTGAGTAAGCCTTCGGCTAGTGGCCAGGATCTCAGGAAAAAGGTGGCTTCCTTCAGGGACCAGAATGAAATCATCAAGCCCATCCGTGAACGTGCTATGGATAACGAAGATGCCGTCGAAACAGACGATGAGGTTTCTGAGAGTGCTATCGAGGACTCGGACTCGGACTGGGAAGATTCGATCACGGAAAGCGGCCGATCCAGTGTTGAGGAGAAGGAACTCTTCCAGCGTGTGGATTCCCGGCCCAACCTTGTTTCGCGTCGCTCCCTTCTCACCATGATGATGCATCAGCCTACTAAGATGGGAGCTCCGACCCGGTCTAGTCCAGCCCTCCAACGCTCGCGTCTCACTTCCCCCAACGGTCCCTCGATCCCTGCATCGCCGCCTGAGGACGATGATGAGAACTTGACGATGCGTGGTCCCGACGTACCTCGCTCGAAGCCCATCATCATGAAGCCCGCCCCGCAGTCTGTTGCCCACTCCCCACGGACAACTCGTCGCAACATGCTCGCTACCGAATTGACCGAGTCTCTCCGCCGACACTTGTTGTGGGAACGTCAACAGAAGAGTGCGACTGCCAACGCGTTCCTGAAGCGCAGACATACGGCGCATGACATGGCCAATCTACAAGAATACCCTGGACCGAAGGGTTCTAAGGGACAGGCAGCCGGCCAGGCCGGTGGTGCTGCAACCAAGGCTACCAGTCAGGGTAAGGACAAAACCGGATCCTTTACTCATTACACCGACTTTGGACCTTGGGAATATCATGTGAAGGGGTGGTGAAGCCCTTGACTGATGATTCGATTTACGTCTTCGCCTTCATTATCTGTGTCAAAGCATGTCCTTTCTTCTGGATCGGTAATGTTTGTTGACTATGATACCCGATACTCGAACGGCTACTCCTTGTTTCACGTTTCTTTTCTTTTCCAAAACATGTAAAGACCGCCGACTGATTATCATCCTTGTGACACGTACCATCACGACTGCATTGCATATTGGCGCACCTAGGGATCATACGGCTGTTATATCCGACCTAATGCGTTTCGGGTCATTGTTTTGCTTTTTTCCCTTTTTTTCTCCCTTTTCCTTTCATCTTACCCCATCTTTCAACATTGCATTGTGAGGCTGTCTGCTGTCATTATATACGGGCCACGGGAGGGACAAATGCCTTTTATTACATCCTTAATTTCACTTGTACAGATGAAATTTCCTCTTTGGCGATGCATGGTCGGATACGGTCTTCATTGTCTTGTTTTCTTTTTCTTTTTTTTTCACTTCGTTTTATGGGTGGACATACTGAAAAGAAAAGAGGGTTTTATTGTTTTTCTCTAATTATGGATGTGATCGGGCCAGGGAGTGAGACAGCCTGCGTTTGATTATTTTGAAGCGGCAGAAAAACATTGCAAACATGCATCTTGGGAACAGCCAGTTTAGCTCTTCTTGATACCAGATACCACTACTTGTTGCTTGAGTTGAAACCCGGACCATACCATTCCAGGGTCTTTCTTTTTTCACATTTTCCGCCGCCTATCTTTTGCGCACGTTATCACCGATGTATGCTACAGTGAGATTGCTATTTGTTGTTTTTCCACCCCCAATCCAAACCAAAAGAAATCTAGCGAAATAGAAAATCCACTTCGGATATGATATGAGATACAACATTCCTTGATTTAGCTAGCAGTAAAGTAAAAAAGAAATGAGGAAACCTAAATAGAGAAGATAGTGAAAGTGGTGTGTGTGGTGACGCGACTCTGCACCGAAGCCATCCATCCACTCCATTCAAACCATGGTGGTGGTCTCCGGCGGGCCTGGGCTACGGCGCACTGACACGTAGCATGGGCAGAAATAATCACAATAAAATAATAATAGCACATAATAATAATAAAAAATTAATAAAAATTGAATAGGAGGGTAGGGAACAGTACTTAGTAAGTAGTTAGGTGAGGGGAACTCCTCCCCAACCCTCGAACCACCAGCCGTACCTGGTCAGAGATCTAGAATCTCTCGCACTGATCCCTTTGCCTTCCCTTCTCTTCCCTTCCCTTCCCTCCCTACCCTACCCTACCCTACCCTTCACATGCGCCCGATATTAAGATCCCCCCATGAGGAAACGGGACGGGAATAGGATAGTGACCAAAAAAAAGTAAGAACTCAAAAGAAAATATAAATGGAAATGAGAGAGGCGAAAAACGAGCTGGAAATAGAAGCTTGAAGCTATGTATGTATGTATGTATGTATTCGTTCTGTATGGTTTGTAAAACCATCTACGCAATATTAAACTACGAAGTTGAGTTTTCAACGATGATAAGAAAGAAGCATGATGGAAGGTAGTAAGGTAAGGAAGGCAAAAAAGAGACATCTCGGGGTTCCCGTCCCCCCTCCCCCACCTCAGTCCTTGTCATACCCCAACCACCAACAACAACAACAATCGATGACAGATTGCTGCGGCGCCCTTGGAGGAACATGGGGATACGGAGAGGGGGATTGGGGGGAAAGGTATGACGGGGACAAAAAAGCCTGAAAAGCCGACTGAACCGGGTTCGGATGGGGATTATTACTCCAGGGTCACATCAGGTTCACATCATGGTTTGAACCCATCAGAGTATAGTTGCTGGATAGATAACATCATCATCATCTAAACTAGTTCGATTCACCGAACTACTACGATTAGTTGGTAGTGTTGGGTCCACGAGATCTTAGTATAGTTCTATTTAGCTTTTTCGATGGAATAAGGATGGATACATGCAGATCAGGGAGAAAAAAGTGTGAGAGTGAAAGAGTGTTTGCGCGCGCATGTGTTCATGAAGTATATCGGGGGTCGACTAGATCAAGAAAACCCGGTCGGGAATTTGCGTCACTTGTTGGATGGAAGCTGTTCGATTGAGTTAGACGTGCGGTTTTTGTCGGAACTTTGTTATGTCTTGGAAGGTTAACTTTGTTGTTCTAATTCTGTTTAGTTTTTATTATAGTTGGCATGGCCTGGCATGGCGTTGGAGTACTATGATGGATGATGAGTTGGTGAAAGATATTGTTTGTCAGGTATTAAGATTAACCCCAACTGGATGAGGTGCAGCAGCAGCTCGTAATCGGCCCCTGTTAGAGTTGGAAAACGGTCGCAAGCATTCTTCAACCTGTCTGTTCTAGACTGTCTCTCTCTCTCTCTCTCTCTCTCTCTCTCTCTCGTGAAGACTCGAGCTTAACAACTGCCGTATGCGAATGAACTGCCGTGGAGGCTATTGTGCAGTGCCGTTGGAAATAAGCAGGTCATCTGCGTAAGCCTTGCAGGTTCACTGGGCGGGAAGAATTCAAATTCTATCTATAGTAGGATCTCGTATACTGTCTACTTCTGTCTATATTCATTGATACAATGACATATCGTAGAGCTGCCATTTGTGTAATGGTATGCAACCGGAATAGCGGACTAATCCCCAGTATAAAGTTCGGTATAAGTTGCATTGGCCCTGGTCTCGTGCGCACTGACATCTTCATTGCTTCAAACCACAATGACGTAACGCGGGTACTCCCTGGAAAACCGGAGTTGAAGTAGTATGGAGTTGGACTCTTCTTACTAATGAATTAACTACTCCGTAGATTGTTGCATTCAACAGAATCCCTCGGACCGCTGTGATCCGTTTATGTTAGTCGAACAGGTCGCATTCCTTAAGCTGAGACTAACTAGGTGTCATCAAATTAGCTAGGTAAATAGTAACCACTGCAGTAGACACCAGAATAATAACACGCACAAATGATAACCAACCGAATTTCAACCCGCAAAAAAAGCAAACATAAGCACACACCCGAAAAAGTGTCGGATCGGATCCATTGGAAGGAAGAAAAGCATACTGTGTACTCTGTAAGGAAAGTAAGAAGAGAAATTACATTATTTTTTCTCTTTTCCCTCCTGATCTTACTCTTAATTCTCCACAATATCTCCCTGAATCTCCCGATCACCTGCACCAATGACGACTCGAGTTTCCTGCAAACCTGCAAACTCTGACGTCCGAGTCTGCCCGAAAACGTGGAGCAAAAGCCAGCCCGTGGTTCTCTCAAACACCCAGACCACGGCGGTGGATCCAACCCCGACCACCAGTGCAAAGCGGCTGAGGGGGAACTTGGCCCAAAGGAGTTTACCGCCCCTGCAGAAAGTCGGGGTGGACGCCGCGCGAGTGGTTTTTTGTCAGCTGAGAGGGGGGGGTTTCTCTCCACTCTTTCCCTTGTGTCAATTTCCAGGACTACCTTGTTGCTAAGTAGCTTAGTTTTTCAAATTGCGGGTCTTTCTCTCTTGTGGAGCGAAATTTGAGATCGGGCAGCCAAGTGATTCGTTCCCCCCCGGAACAAAGTAGCCTTCACCGGTACTGTGAGTGCTGTTATACAGTGACACTGTATCTGAGTGACAGGTGCTGTACTCGGGCTGATTCGGGATAGTTGTATTCTATCCTTCCTTACTAATTCTCACCTTCAGCCTCCCTCTTTCATATCGATCGCTATACGGACTATCCATCCATCAATAACCTTGATTTCTTCACGCTCGTTTCAATGCCTTGATGGCTACTGGAAGTGGAGCAGTAACACCTACTACATACATCACCTTGGAATCAATCAACCCTCGACACTCCGCTTACTAAAACGAAACTCTCTCCATCATTTCCTACCCTGTAGAAAGAGATACACACACACACACACACACACCGAGGCCCTGAAATAATAATACCGGGAATAATAACAACCAATAACCAACGGTGCCCGACCGAGCCAACTGAACAACCAACCAACGAGCGAGCCAAACCAGCAACCGGCTACTACCCGGCCCGACTCCCCAATGCAGCTCGGCATGCCGAAAACTTCCTTCCCCTCCCTTCCCATCCACATTCATGCATACATACACAATGGGGTATATTCGGAACAATACCAAACAAAAACTTAACTAACTTAAGACACCGAATATCTTGATTATATCATTTGCTCTTCTATTTCTCCGAGAACATTCTGAACTCTATTTCCCGCACACTTTTCTTCTTCGCTCACCGTTTTTCACACTCTTCCCCCCATTCTCGGCCCCATCATATGTACGTGTTCACTTTTTTGACCGCATATAACATATGCACACTAATTATGTGGGTGGGTGGGTGAATCTAGACTTGGCTATTTCTTGTTGTAAGCTGGTTGTCTAGACTCGGAGGATATAGTTAACTTGTTATCCTGTTTTCTGTCTTCTTTTTCTTGCTACTTCCTACTTGATAGTTTAGTTGGTTCCATTGCAGTAGTATGCCTCGGCACGTGGCGGAGCGGAGAGAGAGAGAGAGAGAGACAGGTTGTTTGTTTCAGCCTAACTATTATTCTTTTTTCAGTTAGTTTCTTTTCTCAGTATAGTATGTATGACGACTGTCGTTGAGGCTGACCGGGGCGTGCATGGATCCATTGATCGGGGAAATGCCGAGCTAGGTACGTATTCATATTGCTTGGTTGTTTGTTTGTCACTCTGCTGTTAAGTAAGTTACCGCACTGGTCTGCTCCGTTGACCGGTCGGGGGAGGGCCCCCCGCTTACTCTTGGCGGTCACATGATATCAGATTATGAACTTTTAGATCTATACAACTTACAACAATCTTAACCAGCGTAGCAAAAAGAACGAAAAGAAACAGAAAAGAGAAAAAGAAAATTACACATCCCTACCCATTCCTACTACCACCATAATACCTAGTCCTAAGAAGATCCCCGGGCTGATCAAACCTTTTCCAAAGCACCCTCTCCGCGTCTAATTCATCATCATACCTCCTCATCACCTCCTTCAACCCATTATACCAATCCGGAATATTATAAAGCGTATAAAACGCCTTCGTATAATCCCAATACTCCGGAAACCACCCGGAAAACTGCCAATCAACGATCCCAGCCACCTTCCCATCACGAACAATGATATTCCTCTTAGCGATATCCGCATGTGTGAAACACGTCCGATAGTATGATCCAGATCGTTCATGACACTTCGTGACAGCTTCGCCATATACCTTCGTAGTATCTTCTATCGGGATCGTCCCGCGCAGGAAATCATGAAATTCGTTAACGGTTTTGAACGGCCCAAAGGGCCAGCTTCCCACTCGGATGTCATAACATTCTCCTAGTTCTGCGGAAGCTACAACGCCTTCCTGTGGTGGTGTGAGCTGTCGGAGTTGGTCGATGTAGCTAGCAACTTCGTTGATCACTGCTTGTTTGTTCGTGGATGTGAAGTTGGGGTTGCGCCATACTTCTTGAAGAGTGTCGCCTTTGATGTAGTCCATTTCGATATAGACGCGTCCCTCGTTGGCTGGGTATGTGCGGTGGACTCTGGGGACGGGGATGGTGGTGTGTTGCGTGACGAATCTTAGACCTTCTAGTTCGGCGGGGAAACATGGTCCTTTGATTAGTCGCGTGGAGCTCACTCTTACTACGCTTGGTGAGAAGGTGCCGTAGCGCTTTTTGCCTAGCCATAGTCGTGTTCGAAGATAGAATGATACTATTGACTCGGGTATTGGCATGTTTGGAGGTATGATTAGAAGCCTGAAGTCAGGCAAAGCTGACTATGATTGGATTGATCTGCTAATCATTTAAAAGCTTGGCTACCATACTGAGGGCCATGACATCTTTGAGGCGATACTTGGGTTTATCAGAGAGGTGCTGTGAATGCATATGATTATGCTTCACCAATCCCTCGTTATCACGTGATGCAATATACTTGGGCTGCATTGGATGCGATTACCAGCCACTGATACTAGGTGGGTAGGTCCAGGTCAAAGCGTGGATGGGTACGTAACAGCACGAGTGTTCATAACTTGAATGTGATTTGTATTAATTGTGGATCAAGTCTGTCTTCTGGTTGTCTTACAAAGAAAAGACTTGTGTAAAGCCAACTAACTAACTAACTAGCGGAAGGATTATGTAGGGTAATACAATCCATCCTTACGGCCCAGACAGCCGGCTGGCCCCCTTCAGACATCCCGAGATCCTGATTCGACTACCCGGAATCTCAAACCACCGCTAGTATCAGCCACCTACCAGCTGTTTCCAGAGGCGAAAAAAAAAAGCCATCGGGAGGCGAAAATCAATCACATGCCATGTGTGAGTGTTTGGCGCTAACCACGTTTACGGTCGCAAGGCAACCGTGATGCCGATTTTGGTGTGGTGCGCCTTCGAGAAGTCTTCTAGAAGAGGTTTGGGGTTTGGGGATCGCAGTACGCATTTGGCTTAGAGCCGTATTATACTTTCGTTTTGAATGGACGGATTTGTCGGTGTACTTGCCCGATGGGCTGGTATTGGTAATTGTCGGTATTTGACGGGGGTGGGTTGTATGTAATACGCTTGTATCGAATATCTCTAGTCTGTTTTAGCGTATACACACAGGCGACGATGGGTTCAGATTGCGGCTAGCAGACTTTTTCTTCCTGTATAGGCCAATGACGGTGGGGATAATTGGGCTATGAGGAAGAAGATTTTGATCTCCAGATCGGTGCCCGATGGTGAACAGTCGTAGCCTAGAGGGATCTTTTGGACGATCATTCGTATCCGCTCGTTGATACTGAAATCGTGCTTCTCACCTGACCATGTATATGGATTCTGGGTGCATGGGAATACCGAACATTGTGTAGACCGCCTCGGGTAACTTGATGATTGGCCCAACCTGTTCACCTTAGTGGCCGTCCTGACATGCATGCGCATACCAATTGACTTGTGAAATTTGGCAAAGGACTCTTTTTCTTGTTGTTGTTACGAGAAGGAAAAGCTTGCTATCTCGGCCTTGGGTGAAACAAGCCACATCACTACCTTCGTCGTCATTATGGAGATAGGCGGATATCAAGTTATCAACACCTTCCAAGTATAGCAACACAACACATCTGTGGCTGTTTGTGCATCGAGGCCAACTCTCCAGCATTAAGACTGAGCAGCCGTTTAACGTCAGTTACGGGCCCGGAGGACGTCGCTCCGATTGAGTTCATGCTATGCGTAGAACCCCGCTAGAGACAACATGGAACCGTCCATCGAAGGTCGAGACGATCCGCACTAGTTGTATCTGCCTTGCCGGAGGAGGCTAGCGTGTATCTTTGCGCGGCGAGATTCCGTCGAATGCGGGATTCCAGCACACAGAATTCCGCATACCAGATGAACTATTTGGTGGTATTATAATCACCACTGAAGCTTGTCGGGAGTCGGACCTTTGGTCAATTACCAATTACTTTGTAGAACAGGTATAACTGAGTCTCTATCAGGCATGGATTGCTGGATTCAGGAACCACAGTATTGTTGGTGCTGATGGCTCAGGGCCAGGTCGTATGGACGGAGTAATCACGGAGAAACTGATCCCTTTCTGCGCTAGCCGGAAGAGCTAGGAGTCACATGATGGCAATGACTTTTCCTGGTGCGGCGTACCTCGAATACGCGCTATCCCGAGCTCACAACCAATGATATGTCTCACATTACTTCAATTTGCTGGTTCACACTTGAAGCTACGGCGTCTTGAGAGTCAGGCGATTGCTTGATTTGCTGGGTGCAGTCAGTTGTAGAAAACCCCGATCCGTACATGTAGGCCTACCGCTTGTTTGGTTTGCCGCACATATTCCATTACCCAACACACACATTGTTGAATGCCGTGTTATGCAGCCGGGGGGCTCGTAGCTGGCAGCTAGCTGTATTACCCTCAAATTAGGGTCCCAAGTCACGCTCCTGAATATCCTCGTCAGTGGGTCCAAGTTACATTCATCCGGGCTCAACTTACTCGATTCGTCCTAAACCGCAAAAGCCACCTGCGAATCAGAGCAAGCAGCGCTCTGTGCGCCTAGTTAGTGAGGGGGAGGCGCGGGGAGCAAGCCCTAGTCACGACGATGATTTGGCGGGGAAGTTGGGGACGCGTTTCTTTAGTGAGGCTTTTCTCTGCCCACTCCCGGTGAGACTTATCACCATTCAATCACCGTAGCACAGACAAACGTACGCCCGGTATACTTTGAGTTGTGGCTTTGTTGAAGGATCAGGGATTGCATAGGGCTTGGGAAATTAATGTCACCATATTGTGTGGTACAATGGCGTCGGTGTCTCCCTGCATATCAAGATCGGAATATTGGTGGGATTTGGAGCCAAGTGACCGGGTATTCCGCGGGGGTTTAGGCTTAGTGGTATTGCCCGGGTTCCAACAGGGTTTTTGTCGGTATCAATAGCCCCGTTTACATACGGGGGTACTTGTGCTGTACCACTCGCTTGCTTATTCAACTCGACTCGTTTTGCATTGCCCGGCCTATGCTCTTTACCAAACGGGTAAATCAGAAGATGAAGTTGCTGACAGTGGTTCGAGAGGCTGATGGAGCGATGCACTTCGCTATCATTTGCTTTCTAGGAGGATGTGGATGAGAAACAGGATGCCCATGTCCATCATTACCCCGGGTATATTCCTCTTGCGAATGCCAGCCGGAGAATCCTCAGTTTACCTGCTTTGTGCAACCGATGTACATTTGCAAACAAGAAAACAATCGTATCATCACCTCCTGGTCTGGAATCATCATAGCATCATCTGTGGCTGCTTTCTCCGCTTAACTTTACCGCGGGCAAATATCGCTGGCCAAATCCCAATGAAGGAAGATCCAAAGTGTCGGTGTGATCGGTTAAGTTAAACTTCCTTTCTTCATGGAGGGTAGTAGCGAGCCAAATTTCCGGTTATCAGGAGCTCTGCTGTGTGTGCATTGCTGGGTGGAACTCTGCCGAAGACTTGATATAGGACCCTTCCAACAACTTGGGTACACTAGGTTAGAACTTTAGGTAACCGTTCCAACTACTGACCTTCCTCTTCTCGTAACGGTCGGTGTTCTGCCTTATTTGGGAGGTACGTAAATGTCCACATAGCGTATAACGTCCAGTAGGTGGAGGCCAACGTGAAGAAGATCAGTGGACATGCGCACTTCCATCATACAAGCCACAAGACGACGCCAGATGCCAGAAAGGGGCCGGAAAAAAGCAAAGATAGACACATTGACATGTTAAGGTCAACGTCAGATGGTTACAGTCGAGAGATTGCACAGTATTCCCATTCCACAACTGGCGATACTTGCAGTCAGTTCTGACAGATCCAGAAGGTGGATGTTTCCCCAGATTCCCCCCCGCGATGCCCAAAGATCGTCATCTGCCGGCACAATACGGGGAGCATTGCCTCTCCTAGCATTCATATCCATTTCATCTGCCCAAGAGAAGGTGCGAATTAGGTGACCTGAAAACACTCAGCACTGCCAGACCGACTTCCATCACGTGGTCACATGGCGGCTGGCATCAACTGCAACAGTCAGCATCATTTGTACGCCCCGCGACGAGAATTCAAACCTCTACTAGATCAGGTACTTTTTTTTTTCTTCTTTTCATCTGCTCCCCATGTCTGCCGGTGATGGGAGCCGGAGGACTGTGTCTCTAGCGTTGTCCCTCCAGCATCCGTTGGCCAGGACCTGGCGACTGTCGATCTCCGGGTCACCAGATCTCTGCGTTGGCAATTCGATCACATTGCGGATGTTCCCTTGCTCCTCCTGGAATCCCGAAATTACGCGCTGACAAGTCATCAATTCAGTGACTTCTTAATATTGCTTAGCGACTTTCCCGCCGATCTTTTACGATATTATGCTCCCCCTCCTAATTATTTTTTCACATCACACGCCCGTGATCCGGAGCAAACAGGATACCTTGTCCTCGGGGCCCCAGTCAATGGATTCTAATCCTGGGAGATGATGGAGATGATGATGATAGAGCTACTTACTGCTGTCCTGTTTCGACGATGAGGTCAGCCTTTCACATTCACAAATCTGTCAGTCATGAGCCTCCGTCCCCTACATTAGGTATACTAGGTATACTGCAGATTCATCCATTTCTGGATGCTTCCTCCGGGCTTCGTATTCCAGGTCCAGGCCTGTCGATCAGCGCCAATACCCACACCCCCATGTACTTTTTTATGTCATTATGATCGCAATTCCATCCCATTTAGGTATTCTCTCTTGTTCTATTATCAGGCCTTCAACAACTTATTCATCACTGGGTCTGACTGACACTTTCGGCCCGCAGCTTTTCTGTTTTTTGCTCGGTCACACGCTCCTTTCAACCTCCTTCCCCATATTATTGTTGTAATCCTTATTTTGACTGACATACTCGGGCCCTTCTCCCGCAGGTGGCGCTATGTGTGTGAGTGTGTGTGTTTGTGCTGGCGCTCAGCCTCAGTGTTCAGAAGCAGGCTCCAGGTCGCATTCTGTACATTCATCCGCGGAACAGCAGGTCAAATGCCTTTCTCTGCTTTGCTTTGTGGCGAGATGGGGGAGAGGTCTAGCCTTATCCTCGCTGTTCTAGTTGCCCTTTTCTTGTTTTCCCCTTGTTGATTTTGTAGGCGCCACCGTGTGCATGTGCGCGCTCTTATCTCAGTGCAGCTCTTTCTTTTGCCTTGTGGTTGGTATTTCATATACGTGGTTTTGCTGGTACGCGGATGGCCACTGTATTGATGCGCATTCCAGGATAGGTGGGCATTGTTGGCCCTCGGATGGAAAAGGGGCGGGTTTCACAGGTGGTGGAACAATGACACGAGGGTTCTCACGTGCTTCATTCGCTTTCTTCCTCGGTTTGGTCTATGGACAATGGTCATGGTTCAGGGTTGGGATGTTCGATATTGGTGCTGACTGGGCAGCGGTCATATCTCTTTCTGTGACTATGGACGGGATGCTCTAATCATACAGGATGCTTATTACAAGGTACTAGGTGGGAAAGACTGGAAATGAAAGGTAGCTTGCAATAAAGCGGGCTTTAGTTCAAGGACCCCTTGGGGTTGTCCGGGAAGCGTCTCTCCCAGCCTACAATAGCAGGCTTCAAGGGACCCGAGAAGAGAGTCGAGTAATCGGTTCCAGGCACTCCTTTCCTGCCATCCACATTGAATAGCTTCAGGTGACGCACGATGGTTGCGATAATGACGCCCAGGTTAACGTAGGCGAACTTCTCTCCAATGCAGCGGTGGCGGCCAGCGCCGAAAGGTAGATAGGGACTAGCAGTGCCCTTAGACACGCTGCCATATCCGTAATCGACCATCTCTCCTTCTTCCTCTTTGTCGGGCTGGTTCTCCCAACGGTGGGGATCCCACCGGGTTGCGTTGGGGAAGTATTCATCACTAAGCGCTGTTACGCCTGGCGAGGCGAGTAGAACACGGTCTTCGGGGATAACGTAAGATGTGCCAGGTACTGGTAGCGGGTTCTTCACCTTGCGCATGATCGAGTGGATGGACGAGTGGATCCGTAGGGTCTCCTTGATGACACTCTGGAGGAGTGGCAGCTTGTCAAGGTCCTGATACTGCAGCGGCTCGAAAACCCCGTTCCTGTTGCTGAGGCTGGCCAACTGTTCTTGGTAGAGCTCTTCAAGCACTTGAGGCTCAGAGGCTAGTCGCAACATGATCCAAGAGCTAATTGAGGAAGAGGAGTGTTGCCCTGCCATCAACAGTGTGATCATCATGTGAGCAATCTCTTTGTTCGGCACTGGCTGTCCGTTCTTGTAGGTGCAATGCATTAGGTTCCAGATCATGTCGGACTTCTCCTCGTCTGGGTTCTTGCGCCGTTCGTTGATGATGTCCGTGTAAATCTCTCTCATCCGAGCATGAGCAGCATCACGCTTCCGGTTGTGCGGCAACGGAGCCCAAGGGAGCATAAAGTTGATGGGGCTGAACCCCTTGTCTAGATCGTGGTACAGTTCAGCGAACTCTGCAGTAAGCTTCTTGCGGACCTCCTCGCCCTGCAACGCGCGTCCAGCAGTGTAGATTGTAATCTCAGCCATGGCAGCAGGAATATCAATGACTCCACTCGCGCCGTTGAACCGTGGAGAGTCACGGAGATAGTCGAGTGTCTCCTTTTCAATCAGCTGGACGTGTGACTCGAGCGCCGCTTGCGTGAGGCCAAACTTGATGAATTTCTTTTGTTCCATCAGCTTGGAATTAGGGCAGTCGTACACAACGTCGGATCCGAACACCGGGGTGGTGAGAGGGCTGTAGACCTCTTCCGCGCTCACGTCCTTGAGTTTACCATTGAGGATGAAATCGTTGCCTTGAACGCCCAAGTATACGGTTGTCTTTTTGCCCAGGAGCACGAAGGTGAAGATGTCCCCGTACTATTCAGCCACTTTGGTCAGTTATCATTGGCCATCGCATGATGCACAGTAGCTGACCTTTTTCCTGCAGGAGAAGAAGAATGCATAGGGATCCATTCCATAGCTGATTGTGCTTCCCAGGAAGGGAATCCAATGAAAGACAACAGGTGGTTCTTTCTCGTTGCGAACGAGCAATTGGCGCGCGACATTCAAGACTATCGCAACGAGCAACGCTGCGAAAGCGTAGGCGCCTGCGACAGCAAGATATGCCATCCTGGAGCGACCGTAGGCAGAGAAAAGGACCAATTGATGGGGAAGTTGCTTGTGAAGGAGAAAGTCAGGAGCAAGACATCTAAGAAGTAGGTTGTTGTCGGCTCATGGCTGTCTGAAGAGTAACGTAAACAGCCTTAGGCGCCACGACCTATTAGATATCACTCCCAAGATCTTACCCCCTGGCACTGAGCTACATCGATCCCCTCCACTGTAATGGCTCGCAAACACTGTAAGCATAAGAAGGAGGCATTGCTCGCGGTGGTTCCTGAGCCGGATCAGACCACTTGGAGATCCCTTGGATAAAGTGTCGAACCATGCAAGGCTCCAGTGATGTTGACAGTCACTCTGGCCACTCACAGCTGTGTCTGGACCATTTAGTGGATTGGGGGCAATCGCTGCCATCGTATTGGATACGCCCGCACATCATTGGTCCATTCCTTCTTGCCTGGACCGGGTCTCCAAAACTAACCCCTTTTATCGTCAGCATCGCCACTATGTGGCTTCAACTGTGGATGTCTAGCTTTCGAGAGCTTTCTGCTCAGTTCACTTTGATACCAAACAGTCACCTGTATTTTAGACATCACGACTCAAGATGAGTCATGATGATGGCGACCAGCTTTTGACTCAAAACTGCCAATCCAGACAGTCATTCGCCTGCCTTACCCTTTTGGGACTAGCTGTCCCGTGAGCTCCACCCGCCGCCCGCAAATATACATCCGCTCCGATACCTGCTTTTTACCATGTAGTTCACCAGTCTATTCGATTTATCCTACAGCAGTGCAATTCAAGGCATTCCAACATGAGCAACACACAAACAGGGGGCTCTGCGGGTGCTAGCTCTGCTGCCGGTCAACGACCAGTGTCCAAAGCAGAAGCCTCGAATCCGCGAGAGTTCCAGCTCAACCAGCTCAGAAGACGGTTCAATCCGACGGAAACCAGCAATGACGATGGGACGACATTGAGCTTCGGCTTGGCTCCCTCGGATCCTGATTTTCCGTTTGATATGGACAAGCTTCAGTGTATCTTGCACGTTCCCAGGACATATCCGGCGCAAGGACGGCCGTCTATCAAAGTCACCAATCCTGAAATGGGCAGTGCGTTTCAGGAAAATATCTCGAGAGGATTCGATGATATAGTTGTCAGCACTATCAGAAGTGGTAGTCGTGGGACTTTGCTCAGCTGGATGAACAGTCTCGATCGGCATTTGGAGCGTTTGCTCACTACTACGGAACGGGGGCCTACGTTGAAGTTCGTGCCTAACGTGGGCGGCAAGGGGAAGCCAGAGGAGCAAAAGCTAGTGTCAAAGATGAGTACTCTAGCTGTGTCTTCTGGGAAGAAGGCCAACTCGACTCGGGTGGAAGCAGCGAGCCCTCAGCCTCCGAAACCCGTATACACCGCGGAAGAGAAGGCTCAGGCGGAGAAAAGAAGAACAGTTGAGACGAAGCAACTTGACGCTCGTCTGGGAAGGCTGCCTCTTTTTCAAAAGTCCAGCGATGGTCTGTCGTTCGTTATTCCAATCCAACCGACTAAGCTAGATCGTCTGCCTATTTCTGTTCGCTCCGTCAAGACAGTGAAGCTCCTAGTGCCTAGCTTGTATCCTCTTGAACCGAGCAC